CACTCGGTGGCCTCATAGTCTGTACTGTGGACGCGAGTCGACGGGTCCGAGTTTGAGACCTGGGGTCCGTTCTTCGAAAGTTCCCGGTGACCTAACGGGCCCGGAGCTATATTTTATAATCAGGCAAAATTTGAAGAATAGAGGCAGGTTCTGTCACCCTTACCAGTCCATGTTTTTTTTGTTTTTTTTTTTTTAGATTAAAGTTTTATTGTAAACTTTTCAAAAATTTTGAAACCCCCATCTTGAATGAAAATAGAATATCTTTGCGAGCCCGTTAAGTTACCGGGAGCTTCTAGAACTAGGCCCTGGACGGGTCAATGTGTTGTCCTCTAGGGCTAGACACTTCAAGCAAATTACACAATATCGCTCTCCACCCAGGGTGCTGGCGAATATGTCAGAGATGCCTGATGAAATGCTTGGGGGTAACCTTGGGATGGATTAGCATCCCATCCAGAGGGGGGGGGGGTAGTGCTACTCTTAGTCGCTTCATGCAAAGGAAATCGGGGGTGGGCCATGTGGCTCGGTTGAAATGAGGGGCAGATCTCAATTAAAATACTGTTCCTCCTTTTCAGTTCATCCAAGTATCCATGTACTGCTAAAGACGATGCACAAGTCCTTGCAAGCTCTTTTACCGTTATTTTGGTTCAAAATGCATAATATGATCATTTGTTCGGCCGCTTTTTATCTATAAATTTATAGTCAAACTTGAAAAGGATACAACAGAAGATGCTTCTTCTCTAAAGAAGAACAGGTTCTATAATTATGATTATAAGTCATAAATCTTCAAAGGAGAAGTTATGTTCTTTTGTCGGTCATGTGTCTCGCTTGCTTAGATCCGTGCGTGCATGCTCATGGGATCTGCGCGGATTTTCTTTAATAATCAACACGATCAGTAAATCAACCAAAATTGCAGTAAGTACTTAAATAGAGGGCACTTTATAGCACCTACGAAATTGTACCAACTATGTAACAGTAAGTTATTAGACCATGATTTTGGTATGTACCACTAATGTCGGCTTGCAATAAATTTTCAGTCTGAAGTCTCTTCAAAGTCGTGCGCGCTAGGTCGAGGGAATTGTTGTAATTTCAAATTTCCGATTTATCACCATCACAAAATCACGTGTAAACCTTGCGGGAGTCAATATTAAACGCCAACTATTCTTTATCTCACTGCGGCAGAAAAAATGCCCAGGCCTTCCCCTCTACGCGGTTGGTATCCGCAGTACTGTACTGGAACAGCAATCGTTTTGGTAATCTTTTGTGCTGTGTCACTACGGGGTGTTACTTAATCTTTACTTTTCTTGAAAAACACTTAACCTTAGTCGAGAGTGGAAAATGTTGGACCGTCGTAGTCAAGTTATTGAAAATTGGGGCCAATATTCTTTAGATTTAATCCATCATTTACAACCGTCACGATCTTCATGGATTGACTTCTTTTTTCAACCTCCCTTTATTATCGCCTCTGTTATGTTTTTCTTTAATACCGAAGTATCATTTTATGATCTCCTTCATGTTGAAAGTGGTTTTACAGGACACGAAAACGATTTAAACCATCCGAGTAGTTCCTTCGGGGTAACCCGTGTCCACGGGGTAAGCTACAATATCGCAGGTAGAGTCATTCCAACACATTTAGAAGGTCGTGTTAAATCGGTTATTATCTTAGTAACATGGACTTTTCGTGGAATCCTCTCCATTGGAATAAGCGTAAAAGAGAGGAACCATCATCAGGCACCAGAGAACATAAGAACTGAACAATCGTGCAGAACCCACTTTGGACAATTTAAATTTGCATTCGAAATCAAAAGGTAAAGCTAAAGGTCTCTATTTCTCCAAACAACATACGTGTTTAGTTACAATTTTAAGGTTGAATTCAGACAGGCGCCTGTGGCAGCCGTTTTTAGTCCGTAGC